CTTCCTGGGGGTCTATAATTACTACAAAATAAAAAGTTGAAAAAAAAATAATAAAAGGGAAAAAGTTATGAAAAATTCAGTAGACATGGGAGCAGGATGAAGAGAGCATCTGTGTAAGGGGGAGTCAGAGCCCAAGTGTGGTAAAATAGATGTCCTTGTGTTACAGTGGCCCAACATAAGGTGTCAAAGACCCAGCAGGGTGAGGAAGCCGTCTGTGCAGAAGGACAGTGCAGCATGGGGTGTCAGAGCCCAAGAGAGGTGAGGAGGGCATCCACATGAAGGGGATGGTCTGGCTTGGGGATAAGAAGAGTCCACATGCAGGAGGGGTGAGGAGGAGATGTAAGAGTGCAGTACAGAGTGGCAGGTCAGAGCCTGAGCAGGATGAGAAGGGCCAGGGGAAGGAGAAGGTGATAGGAGATCGGTTTACATGTAGAGATGGATCAAATTAAGTGACTAAATGAAGGGCAACAGGAGCAAGGTTTCTCAATGTTAGAGAAGAGAGTTAAATGCACAAAAGGTGAAAACCAGAAAGAACCCCACAGTGTTGGTTTGGAATTCGAGATCAGTATGAACTCATAGACTTCAAGGAACACGGACACTTACAGCAACAGATACAGATGTAAATGTGTGTGTGTCTGCGCACAATAGATATAGATGTAAATGTGTGTGTCTGCACACACACACACAGGTATATTTTCTAGCTCTGTGCACAGGATCTTGGAGCAGCAAAACTCCATCTCTACTTCAAGTAGCAAAGAGCATATACCTCACACCAAGATTTGTTCCTAAGTATTGTTATCCACTGAAAGGAAGCAGGGCTCCACGGGGAAATGGCCAATTCCACAGCTGGAGTAGAAAAAATACAAGAGCTTTGATGAGGATGTAGGGAAATATGAGCTCTCACACATTACTAGAAGGAAAGTAAAATGATGTTGCAACTTTGGGAAACAGTTTGGCAGTTCCTCAAAAAGTTAAACAGTGTTACCTTATGGCATAGCTATTCCACTCCTAGGTTTATACCCAAGAGAAATGAAAACATATTCACACAAAAATTCATCCCCAAATGCTCAAAGCAACATCATTCACAACAGCCAAAAGGTGGAAACAACCCAAATATATATCAACTGATAAATGGATGAATAAAGTGTGGGATGGTGTATCAACAAAGTGGGATATTATAGGGCAATAAAAATAGATGACGTACTGCTGTATACTACAACATGAATAAATTTTGGATATACTAAGGTAAAGAAGCAGACACAAAAAGCTATATATGATTCCATTTGTATGGACTATCCAGAATAGGCAAATCCATAGAAACAGAAAATTAATTCATGATTGTCAGGTGCTGGGGGGAACTGGGAGGGAAACAGGAAGTGACTACTAATAGATATAAGATTTCTTTTTGGGATGATAAAAATGTTATGGAACTACACAGTGGTGATGACTGCACAGCTCTGTAAATATATAAAAACCATTGGACTCTACATACTTTAAAAGAATGAATTTTATGGTATGTGAATTATATTTCAATTTTAAAAAAAAGAACAATCTTGGGTATCTTGTGCACTGGAAAGCAAGTATATGCTCCAAGAATGATGGGCACATGTCAAAAGGACAAAGAAACCAGCCTGAAGGAGTTCCCACAGGCTAAATAAGAAAATCAAAATAAATAAAGATAGCAATGGATTATAGCCCACTGAATAAAAAAGAGAACCATGAGTCTTTGCAATATGAATGAATGAGTCCCAAGTATGATGAGGAAGGGATATTTACATAGCTTCAAAGCTCCTCTCCACAAAAATACTAATTACCAAAGCAAAAAAAGAGTAACTTGAGCAGCAAAGCCTGGCAGACACCACCTTACACAAGTATCAAAGTGAGCATCATCAGTAATGTGACAAATGGAAATCTGTGCTCTTTGATAGGCTGCAATGAAAAGGACACAGCAATGTCAATATTGGGAGAAGTGAGGTAGGGGGTGGGGGCAGTCGGGGGGTTATGGAAACGACCTTTAATTTCTGCTCCATTTTGCTATGAACCTAAAACTGCTCTAAAAAAATAAAATGTATTAATTAAAAACAAAAATAGCACCACTTCTGTGATATTCCCGCAAAAATGCATAACCTGAATCTAGTCAGGAGGAAACATCAGACAAACCAAAACTAAGGAACATTCTACAAAATAACTGGTCTGCAATCTTCAAAAGTGACAAGGTCAAAAGAGTCAAAGACTGCAGAACTGTTCCAAATGGAAGGAGACTACAGAAACATGACAACTAAATGCAACACGTGATTCTAAACTAGATCCTCTTGATATAGAGGACATTATTTGTACATCTGGCAAAACTTGAATAAGATCTGAGAATTAGATGGTAGTAATGAATCAAAATTAATTTCCTGATTTTGATGAATGTATTGTGGTTATGTAGGAGAATGTCCTTGTTTGCCAGAAACACAGTTTCAAAGGGGATGGGGCATGCAGCAGCTAGCAACTTATTCTCAAATGGTTCAGAGAAAAAAAGTTCTTTGTACTTGTGACTTTTCTATAAGCTTGAGATAGTTTAAATTTTTTTAAATGCACCAAAAGTGTCTATCGTATTTTAAATTTCCAGAGCACTTTCTTTTTCTAATGATTTTTACGGCATCTTATTTCATGAATATAATTTCTTCTCTTACCTGTCTGATGCAATTACTAATTACCTATTGTTTTTTGGGTTTTTTTCCTCAAACTTTCTTCTATTTCCAGTATTATTTCCTTCAAGTTCATCTTTTGTACTTTTGCTGTCTTTCTCATTGGATGCTTTCCCCAAATGCCTATTTATTGAATAAATGGAACTACTAAAAGCCAACTGCAAGATCCGCATACTTGGCTTCTCAACCAGGAGGCTTCCACTGCATGTTGATCAGATAGGAACACAGCTATCTCATGGGGAGACCTCTCAATGCCAGTATAGATAAGTCTTTTCTTTAGACTCCGGAGAGGACTCATATAATCTTCTACAAGGGAGGAAAAAGATATAATACCAGACAATTACCTTCTGAAAGAAAAGTAGAGGAAGGAGTGAGGGGAAGGGTCTCACTTTTCAATATAAAGGATTTCCCTTAATCCTTCGGCTTTCCTATGGTGCCTCATCCCTGATTTGTTATGTTTAGTGTCCCCAAGTCTTGAGCATCTTCAGTTTCATCTTCCAAAGAATAACCTGTGGTCTCCTGAGGACTTGGGAGAGGGGCAGTCTTCTCACTGCATAAGCTGGGTCTCCCAGAGGATTTAAATCCTATGTCAGGATTCATTTTTAAATTAATTAATTAATTTTAAGTAGGCTCCACACCTAATGTGGGGCTTGAACTCATGATCCTGAGATCAGGAGTCATATGCTCTACCAACTGAGCCAGCCAGGTCCCCTTATGTCAGGATTCTTTACTTGTCTTCTTATAAAAGCATCCAACTCTTATTCAAAATAGAAGTCATTAAATATTATACCTGTATAGCTCAAAAAAGACATATAATTACTTAATTTAGTACAGCTCCTTCCTGAGGACCTCTTCATTTGTTGTTGGGCTTCTAGACCTCTTCTTTTTTATTCTATTGACCAGAGTCCTTTTGGACACTCTCTTGAATCTCAGTCTTAAGGGGTCCCACTTTTAAAGCACTGATCTGATTGCTCCTTTTATGTTTTCTTCACTGGTACTTCCCCTTTATGCTATCTACTAATTACAATGAACATGTGTATATCCATGTACCAAACATTACTGAGCATCTACTATGTTCCAGGCACTGTCCTAGTCATTAGATTACAATGACAAATAAGACAATGTCCCTGACCTAACAGTGCCTAATGTCTCATAGGGGAGATGGATGAGTAAACTTAAAATATAAAACACTGTGTCAACTGATATATGCACTGAGTGCTACGAAGCCAAGGAAGAGGTGAAGCTAAATCAGACTGAGGCGTGGGTGTATTTCTGAGCTACTATGACAAATATTCTAATAACTGATTACCCCTTATTATTTACTATTTATTATTGTTGATAGTTTTTGCAGTGGGTTGAAAACTTCCTAAAGAGGTAATTAATGCCTGAAGAATAAGATTTTGCCCAGTAAAGGCAGAAAAGGGCACTCCCTTCACACACCCTCACATGAGGTAGCTAGGGTACAAGAAATACTCTTCCAGCTGCAGGCCCAAACGTTTTGATGGGGAAGGCACTACTGAGTGCCACTCCGCTCCACTCTCAACTGAAGAGAGAAAGAGCTCAGTCTCCTATCACACACTGTCAGGCTCATCCCTCTATCCTCAAAGCTTACATGAAAAATCAAAGAACTCAACCAGAGTATGCAACATGCCATTAGTGAATGGCATAATCAGTTTCTGAAACTAATCTCACCCACATACCCTCCACCCTCACCACCATTTTCTACCCCTTCAGTAATTGTAAGCCCTGAAAGAAATCACATGATTTCTAGTCAGGAAAAAAAAATCAATGATTCCTGCTCTACAAGAATTAGTAAAATACTTCCAATTTTCTGCTGGAAATTATTGCTCTTCACAATTAGTCTAAAAATACAAAGTAAAATAATTTAATTAAATCTATATTTCTGATTCCCTGCCCCCAAATTAGCTTTAATTGTTTAACTCTTACATGATGACTAAGAAATAGAAATAAGATTAATTGGATTTTTTTTCTCTTAACAATATTGCTCAAATCCATGTTCTTTTTCATGCTGAAATTACCTTTCTATCCTCAAAGTGGAAGTTGACTCCAAAAGGAAAAAGCCAAGCACTGGCAGGAGAAATTAGAATTTTTGACATAATTCAACAGTTATTTAAAAATACCCTTTGCTCTGGATTTAAGTCTTTTTTTAAAACCACACTCCTGATTTAACAAGAGACAATGTTAAAAATGAAGCCAGCAGCATACATACATGAGCATTATTTTCTATAGACTTAGTTGTTTTCTTAAATTCAATCTCTAATAGAAACAGAACACTGGTTTTCTTACCTTTTTCCCTTTACACACGTGATAAGGAACAGACCTCCCTGTGCTTACTCATGATGCTTGCCGCACCACCAGCCAGTCCTGCTGATTCAGTATGCTCTGTTTGATCCTAAAGAAAAAAAAAAACACATTGCTCATTACATTTGCTAAAGCAGTAAGTCCTAATTTTCTTCATATAAACCTATCATAGTCAAACAAATGAAAGCTATGGGCTTAAATAATAAATTACATCTTCAGAATCAAAGACCTGGCCAGCATGAAATGTAGCAGACACATTTTATTGTGTAAGAAGGCCAAAAGTTAAACATTTCAATAACAGTTAAGAATTTTTTTAACATTTCTTATTTTCTTTTTTTTTTTTAAAGATTTTATTTATTTATTCAACAGAAGGAGTGACAGAGTACAAGCAGGGGGAGCAGTAGAGGGAGAGGGAGAAGCAGACTTCCCGCTGAGCAGGAAGCCTGACATGGGGCTCGATCCTAGGACCCTGGGATCATGACCAGAGCTGAAGGCAGATGCTTAACCATCTGAGCCACCCAAACGCCCCTAACATTTCTTATTTTCAATGGAAAATACGAAGTGAAACACCAAAGGCAGGCACTTTCTTCCCAATGGTTTTAACTATGTTAATTCACAAAAATACCACTTATTTTGTATTACAATAGGCCCTCCAAGAATCCAAAGCTAGTAAAACTGCTACTTCACTAGAATGTGGGATTTTTTTTTTTCCTGTCCACCCCCCCATACGGAATCCTTAAACTGAGATTCAGAGGCTTCCCGTTGAGATTTTTATTGCCAAACAACCTTTTTTCCTCCAAATGGAATCTTTTATGATTCCAGTCCTCTTCCACTGTTTAGAAGCAATGGATCTATTAGCCCAATATTAACCTTTACTGTCAGGGGTATGCAAAAAACAAAGCTGCCAAAGCTTCCTCAAATGTTATTTCCTTCTTCTGAATATATGACAATATCCATGAAGTTACAGTAGTCCAATTTAAATACCTCTGAAGCCGCTCAGAGATAACCTGAAACTCTTTAAGAGCCTAATTTAGCCTTGAACAAGATTAGTAATTGTAATCAGAATAAAATAAGAATGTCACATTATCTTGGTGCCTGCGTGGCTCGGTTGGTTGGGCAACTGCCTTCGGCTCAGGTCATGATCCTGGAGTCCCGGGATCGAGTCCCACATCAGGCTCCCTGCTCAGCGGGGAGTCTGTTTCTCCCTCTGACCCTCCCCCCTCTCATGTGCGCTCCCTCTCTCATTCTCTCTCAAATAAATAAACAAATCTTAAAAAAAAAAATCTCACATTATCCATATAAAATACCTAACATATAATCACAGCATTTTCAGAACAGGAAAGTATCTTAGATATGATCTAATGAACATCACTTAATTTTAAAGATAATAGGCACTAAAATAAATTTTCCTGGCATTATTGCAAATATAATTCACTATCTGATGTGAAAATGATGTACTTACTAAAAAATAAGAGAATAAGGAAAAAGCTAAAATTCAAGTTTCCAGAGACCAATAAAAAATATGGAAGGGGGGCACCTGGGTGGCTCAGGTCATGATCCCAGGGTCCTGGGATCGAGCCCCGAATCGGGCTCCGCATCGGGCTCCCTGCTCAGCGGGAAGCCTGCTTCTCCCTCTCACACTCCCCCTGCTTGTGTTCCCTCTCGCTCTGTCTCTCTCTCTGTCAAATAAATAAATAAAATCTTTAAAAAAAAAATATGGAATGGGGCGCCTGGGTGGCTCGGATGGTTAAGCGTCTGCCTTCGGCTCAGGTCATGATCTCAGGGTCCTGGGATCGAGTCCCGCATCGGGCTCCCTACTCCTTGGGAGCCTGCTTCTCCCTCTGCCTCTCTCTCTCTCTCTCTCTCTCTGTCTGTCATGAATAAATAAATAAAATCTTTAAAAAAAAATATATGGAATGAAAATCACTGGTGAAAGATTTTCCTATCTTGAGAACTTGAAAAAAATATGTATTTGTTACATTTTCTAAATGAGAGGTGCTGTTGATACCAAGAAACAGGCTTACATCTACCAAATAAGGAATTAATCATATCAGAAATAGGAAATGGCTATATGAGGTAGAAGTACCAAGGTCAAAATGAATAAGGCAAAAGTAAGGTCCTCACCTCTAATTAAACTATTTAACTGAAGATTTTTTTTAATAAATAAAATTAATTCTACAGATTCAAAGTCAAATCCTGTATGTCTGTATCTATTTTGATGTATGAGGCAAGTCCAATAATATTATGTAACTGTCTCAAACATCACAGGTTTTTCTTCTGGAATTTTATCCCTCTGACCTTTAGCCTCAGCTGGCAAAGCCTTGAGTCTGATTAAATCCAACTGCCTACCTAACTCCATACGTTCCCCCAAGAAGCTTAAATGTGTCTAGAGGAAAATCATACAAGGAGGAGACTGCTCTCAACTTTACATTTGTGACTTCACACTACATTTCCCTTAGTCAATCTACTTTCAACACTACCTCATTCCTAACTTTTGATATACCTGGAATCCCTTAACTCAAAGCTTTCATAATTCAATTCTTCCAAAAAATAAACCTTTAAGTTTCCTGCAGGACAAAGAATAACATTACTTGGCTACATAAACTAGGGTAGAATACCAGCATATCTAACCACTCCTTGTACAGACTTCCAACCAATTTCTTTTTCAGCACTACATCTCACCTAAGCCTTTAGAGATTCCTAGAGCCTCCACAAGTTTCTCTAAGGTTCTGTGGGGGTGTAGACTTGCTTCTCATCACATCTCTCTCCACAATTTATTACTTCTTTAGTTCTAAAACTTATATTTTACTTTTTCCATTCATTGAAACCTCCCATCCAATGTTGTTTCCTTTTCTGTTGTTTCTTCCTGTCGTTCAGTGGAGTTTTAGGGAAGAAAGAAAATAAGTGTGTGGGGGAGGGGGATCAATCCATCCTATTTAGCCACAAGTCTCCATTCTTATCTTTGAGAACTAACACATAATGGAATATAATATGGTATTCTTTCTTATTTTTTAAAAATATTTTATTTATTTATTTGTTCGGGGCGGGGGGCACAAGCAGACAGAACAGCAGGCAGAGGGAGAAGCAGGCTCCCTGCTGAGGAAGGAGCCCAATGCGGGACTCGATCCCAGGACCCTGGGATCATGACATGAGCTTAAGGCAGACTGAGCCACCCAGGCGTCCCAATATGGTATTCTTTCTTAAAAGTAGACTTAAAAGTTGCCAATGCCCTAACAAATAAATTGAGAAATAGTTTAGAAAAACAAAGGGGAAGACAGATAAATAGACAAGCAACAAGTAGTGCCTCCCTCACCTCAACATAAAAACATGCTTTCCAGATAAGAGACAGTAATCTCGTACTTTTTGCCCCGAATGAGCACTTTACGGTAGAGCCTTATCATCGCCTTTTGGCATTATGGAATTGCTTTTTGGAAGGAACAAAAGAAATTTAGTAACAAGATAGATATACGACATAAAATACAGTATAAAACGTTGTGTTTTTTTTTCCCGAGATTTTATTTACTTATTTGACAGAGAGAGAGAGAGAGACAGCGAGAGAGGGAACACAAGCAGGGCGAGTGGGAGAGGGAGCCCGATGCGGGGCTCGATCCCAGGACCCAGGGATCATGACCTGAGCTGAAGGCAGACACTTAACAACTGAGCCACCCAGGCACCCCTAAAATGTTTTAAATATAGTTCAAGATACAAGGAAAAAAATTTTCACAGAAGGCCTTCAAGATTCTGCTCAATGTCACCTCCTAATGTGAAATTAATAATCACTTAGTTCTCTAAGCTCTCATAATACATTTATATCTACAACACATTTCACATTACATGGTAATTTCTCCCTTTACAATCTGTTGCACTCCACTAAACGATACGCCACTCAAGGCAGGAAACCCTTTGTTCATCCTTTTATCCCAAGACCCCAACAGTGTTTATCACATATAGTAGGTATTCAAAATATCCAGGATGATTTAATTAAGTATAGCATATAACACATCTCCCATGACAAGTGGGACAAATAAATAGCTCCTAAATGCATCTCCCTCCTTCTATTTCTACAACTGCCTTATTTTAAGCCCTCATCAGTTCTTACCTTATCCCCCTCCTATCTCACCTACTTAACGGACACACCTCTGGATGTCAGCGATGGGTCTTCATTTGTTACCACAAATACTACCCAGATTGACTGTGCTTTTCTAGCTAATGAATATATCCCCTTAATCTCTTCCCCCAAGAATGAAGTATAGTTTTTAGTATGGCAATAGAGATTCTTTCAGAACTTGGTCTCTGCCTCTTTTCCAAACTGTTCTCCCACTACTTTCCTAAGCTCCATTCATACAAAATACCCATATTTCTTGTGAGATGCTTTATCATGCTTTTCTATCATTGCATGTTCTGTGCCTATATTGAGACACTTTTGCCACTCTTCTTTGCCTAGCTAATTTTCATTACCCAAGTTTCAACTCAAACTCACTCTCAACTCAACCTGGGAAACCTTCCCTGATTCTCTACAGGCTGTTCTAGAAGAGTCATCCTATACTCATGTCATGTCTTCTCTCTACAAATGGCAGCACTTACCAAATTAATTTACATTATCAGTATGCCTGTATACCTCCCCACTGAACTGTCAGTTCATTGAGAACAATGAGTATGTCTTCATTCTCTGTAACCCAGGGCATAGTACAGAGTGTTCAAGAAATGTTTCACAAAAAGATAAATCAAATGAGGTTAATGAAGTCCATATTTAAGTAATCAACTTCATGATGAAGCTTTCTTCCACCCTGATAAATATTTGTGAATGTGTGTGTTGTAGGAGAAAGGGACAGTAAGCAAAACATGTGAGAAACAAAAACAGAGATTTCTCTAGTGGAAGAGAAAAAAAAAAAAGTGACAAGGATTTAAATAATTGGTTGGGGTTTTTTTGTTTTGTTTTTTTTTAAGTAGGCTTCACAGCCATCATGGGGCCTGAACTCATGACCTGGAGATCAAGAATCCTATGCTCCACTGACTGAGCCAATCAAGCACAATAATTGGGAAATTTTATCATTATTAATACAGGCACTTTGATGTATTACATTCTAGAGA